GATTACACTTATGAGTTTCTCTGAATTCTAATTTCCGAATAATTATCTGTTTTCACATGGGAATGGATTAAAACTTATATCGGGCTCCTGTGTGATTTTGGAATTTTAAATTGGAATTCGATTCAAAAGCTTTTCTTTTTTATTGTTATTCATCTTTACTCCTGACAATACGCAAGAATGATTGAAACGACCCAGATAAAATGCTTTTGTTTTTAAACACCAGAGGGTGAGCATCCAGTAAAAAATGTGGATATACAGTTCACAAAAATCATTGCAAAAACGTAAAGATTCCTTTGCTCGTGCGTATAGGATAACCTAGGTTTTTGAAGTAATGAAAAATGAATAAAAACCTCATCTTATATGCAAGTAAATATGGTATATAAATATTTATTAAGTGAGATGAGCACATGTTCTCAGTTTTCCATAAAAAATTTAAGTAGTTGTATAGATGGTAAGTTAGTAAATATTAAAAGCCATTTTATTCAGGATTATTTTAATTTTATCAGAAATATAAGGTCAAATATGCTAGTTTTCAACAGAAGATATATAATAGTTGCAAAGTTACATAATAGTGATTTCAAACTATAAAAAGCTGGATGTAATTTGCCTGAAAATTTGAAAAATATCCTGAAGGTTATACTCAGCACAGATTTATACACATTAGAAAATAATTTAAATTAACTAATAAATAAATATGCATTGAATTATTGAATTAATGCATTTGAGATAGCAATGCAGTCAAACCTATTATTACAAATTTGAAGGGACTTAAAACTTGGCACTTTGTATTAACAAGGTTCTTGTTAAGTAAACTTTACAAAAGATTGTTATGTCATCAAATAGAAAAAGCCAACTTTTTTCCTGGTTATTTCACTATGATTTACCTTGTTTGGATATGTTAAAAGTTAAATAAACGAATAACCTTTTGTGCTACTACAAATATACACTTTATTGAGATACATTGACTTAAAGAATCAATGCTCATTTCTTGACATCAGCTAGAGTTGCTAGAATGATGATTAAAACTACTGGATGTAGCAAGTTAACCTATCAACCAAATTGAATCCAGGAGATGAACTCATATAAAACTTTGCAAATTTAAAAATAACTTATTTGTTTGGATTTTGATGAAAACAGAAGTTTTAAAACTTCTGTTTTCATCTGGCTATATAGTAAATAACTCCAACAAACCTTTATAATTAAACCAGCAAATATATTAAATTGTCAAAATATATTAAAAACTTTATTTGTTGGTTCAATTATAAAGGTTTGTTGAAACAGAAGTTTGTTTTTAACTTAAAATTATGAACTAATTACAGTATTTAATATTATTGTTCAGTTGTTTCATTATTTCCACTATTTAAACAATATAACTATTTTTTAAAATCTGATAAAATCCTACACTTGATCGTATAAACTCCTGGTTTTCTTATTGTTGAGATGGCTGAAACAGTTAAGGTATCAGTCTGCTGTTCTGGGCAGGTTAAAACCCCAAGAATTTTTCTGGATATGTTAGGCCCCATTCCCTCACCACTTGCCTACCCCATTATAAGCCTGATCAAACCCATGATGGTCCTGAAAATAAAGTACTTTTAGTGCTTACAAGGCAGAAAGAGTAAACAAAAAATTTCCAGTTTCCAATGACCATGCAACAGTTTTAATTAATTGTTCAATATTAACAGAGCATACAAAATGTTGACTGTAAGAGATGAGAGTAATTTTTCAAATTGGAGCAAATTTCATTTGTGTGGCATACATCTGCATTAGCAATGATGACAACATTAAGATTGTAAACTTTATCCAACGTTAGTCAAAAAATCTCCCTGGTCATAATGTGTTTTATGTTTTTCCAGTTTGGCTTGTGTGACTTCAAGGAAACTGAAAGCAGTATGATTTGTATTAAAATATGTAATATAATTGTTATTAAGTTTTGTGGAGACATGACAAACATTATTACATATTAACCAATATTTTGCATTGAAATGTCTATCTTTGTTTATGGGATCGCAAATCTACTTTTTATTAATGCAGACTTAGCATAAATTGATAATGTACTAACAGGGTTTGATTGTATTTGCAAAATTATATATTGCATAAACATAAAGAAACATATTCTTCCCTGTTGAAAAGTTTAGTTTGATAAATCCTCAAATTATACAAATAAATTCAAAGAATTACTTTTAATAAAAATAAACATGTTTATTCTCTTTAAAGGTGCTTCAGATTGTATTCTACATAATCTAAAGAAAGCTTTGATTTTTGAGTTCTATGTTTGATCTTTTATACTAAATATAATCTGAAGAAGATTTAAATAAAAGAACACGAATACTTATTTATTTTTAGGTTTATTTGTGCAGTTTGAGTAATATCATTAATAAACATTTTCAAATATCAACTGAAAACCTAATTTACATTAATAATTTTTATTAGAACTAACTCGCCTAAGAGCTAATTACGAGAGAGAGAACATCCACGATTCCTCTCCGGCCAGCCCTACCATCGAGTTTGCAGAGGGTGGACAGAGTCCTCCATACGAAGAAGAAGAAGAATCCTGGGAGTCAGATCTCGCAAAGAATCGTACTAGGACCATGTCTGAATTACAGTTTGATAAAGGTGTTACTGGGGAAGATCTCATCAACATGTTTAAAGAAACTGAAATATTAGAAGAACAAGGAGATATATTACACTATCTTGTAGTTACAAAGTAGGTTTTGAATATTAATATTGATTTTTATAATTTAAAAATAATTAATATTACATAATAAAATTAACGTTTTAGAGGTGTACAATGGGATACGGGTCTTGGTACTCCAGATAATCAGATTAAAGTTAGAGATCTGCTTAAAGTTACTTACGAAAAGGTAAAATTAAAAAATTTTTTTTAAGTAAATAATTTAGTTGATAAGTAATTCTAAATTATGATTTCCAAATAAATTTGTTAGTCATTGAAGATTTTTCAATGATATTTATTTGGAAGTCTATAGAAATCCAATATTCAATATAAGTAAAATGAAATGTTTAACCGTTTTAACAATAATTTAATTACTTTCATAGGCTTGTCATGAAAAGAAATGGAGTCTTGTTAGACATATTGCAGGAATGTTAGGGAAAAGGGTAGAAGATCTTACAAAAGTATGTTATTTTGTGTACAATTCTACATGATTTAGAATTTTTTTAAACATATATTATTAAAATTAATAAAAAAAATTTTTATAAATAGGCCGTAGCTGACTTATTAGTAAGNACATAGGCTGTATATTATTTCGTTAAACATGGGAGATGGACAGTTCTTTATGGTAAGCCTTCCCCGTAAGGCTTACCGTAAAGAACTCTGCTTCTATTTATACTATTTTAGATGCGGGTTTTTGCGTTTTTGATTGCATTTTAATAGGGTACGTCAACAGAATGTACACTAAGAAAGGATTTTTCGATATTTCCCCCGCGGGGGAGAGGGACAGAATTAAGGGCTACTGTGAAGAACTTGGCTTCTATTATATTATTTTAGATGCGGATTTTTGCGTTTTTGATTGCGTTTTAATAGGGTACGTCAACAGAATGTACACTAAGAAGAAATTTTTCGAAAAATTTCCCCCTCACGGGGGAAGTGTTATACATTTATAATAGATACATTTTGAGCCACAACAAGGCGTGGCGGGGTCTGCTAGTGTTGAATATTATTTTAAAAAATATAGACACAAAATAATAAAAATTATATAATGAAGTATATCATCTCTGGCTCAGTGGGCCTTTGAGGTCTTTGGCTGCAAGCAGTATCTTATGCTATCCTTTACTGTCCAATCTGCAATGTCTAATGTATCCAGATCTTTATCCACATTGCCCTCCATTATCATCTATGATGTCTTATTGGATAGACAGGGCCATCACAAGCAGGCATGTAAGGTAACTACCACATGTAGGTGACATTGTTGAAGTATCACCAAAAGGCATTCCTAATTAAGTATCTGATTTGAATTATGAAGTGACAAAAAAATTTAACTAAACATTATGTTGATAAAGTAAAATTGTGAATGTCAGCAATCTAAGTGTCCAAGTGTTAATGTTACAATATATATTTTTATAAATTTATAGTGTTGCATGATAAAGCATACATGAAGTATCCCTGGTGGTGTTTATCACTGGTCTGGCAAGAAATAAACTTCTGTATGGACTAGTACATAATAACGTTTTCAGATGTTCATGATGTTCATACCATCCAAACTCAATTCAAAGACATTTTGATGATCAAAAAACAAGAATTCATCATATATTTGCACTAATTCATAAGGCACAATAAATAAGAACTTGCAGACAGGGCAAGATACCCTAGTAGCAGCTTTGAGGTGAGATATCTGTTTTGCTATACAGTTCTCGTTCATTCTTTTTATGTACCTTAATCATCATAGTTTTGAAACCTTGAGTGCTTTGATTATGGGGGTTTTTTATTTTCCATATATTTCTTTGTTATGTCTTCTCTCTTCATTTGTTATAGCATCTTTAATGGCACCAAAAATTTCAAGTGTTTTGTTTTCAGAATGAATTCATCTGATATAGTAGTGCTCCAGATTTCTGCACCATATAGCATCAATGGTGTAATACAGTATATAGTAATTTATGTATTCCAATTTTACTTTTATTTGAGAGTAGATATTGTAGAGCAAAGGATGCTCTGTTTCCATCCTAGTTATATGATTGAATGTGGATGATGATGATCTTATTAAGATTGGTCTCTAGATATTTGAATGTAACAACATTTTTTAATATCAAATTATCAGTCATCTAGAGAGATATATTATTTGTTACATTTCTTTGTATTCTGAGATATTGTCTTGTCTTGATCAATCTGGAGGCCAACATTCATGTAGCCCAAGAGAGTTGTTTTATGTAGATTATCCCATTTCTTCACAAATACATTTTTATAAATTCAAGTTAGAGTATGGAAGATAGTCTATCACATTGAGGTTGACTCGATATTGATTGGTTTTATCTAATTATATCTGATAGTGCAATCCCTCTACTTCCATTTGTGCAAGCTTTAATTGCTAATTTAACATCATTTAATTACTGCAAACTTTAATTAATGATGTGTAAATCAAAATATACTTCAGTATGTATTTTATGCTATTTTATTATTATATATAGTAGATTAATATAAAAATTTACATACATAAAACTTTTTGCATAAGTCTGTCTTTTACACTTATAACTCCATAAAATTGTTACACAATAAAGAACACTAAGTAAGTGAAGGAGTCATTAATTTAAACAAGATGAAATGTGTTTGAGACTTGTATGTCTTGCATCAGATCTCACTCAATTGTTTTTAAATCATACCAGCAATCTAAAGCCATTTGAATGTTGAAATAATTTTAGAACACTAACTAATAAAAATCAGATTCGCTTTTATTGGAATTTCTGGAAATTTGACATCTTTGCTCAGTTTATTTTTCTGATTCTGATAATTTTTTTTATTTAACTTACTCTGATGATTGTTTTTCTCTCTTCCCATTTCCAGTTTGAAACTCTTTTAAAAAAATTATAGTACTAATTGTAAAGTTTACTAAGAAATACTACTTTACATGACTGACATAATTAATTCAATAAAGTACAAATAAAAGTTTTATAAAAACTTCAAGTAAATAAACATTTTGAGATAGGACTGTCTAATTACATGCACAATTTTTGAGCCATTTTTGATTTCTTTCTTCCCTGTTTTGTACAATAATGTACTTTTGGCAAACCCTTCAAAAGATTTGTTCATAATCAAAGGGGTTGTGTGCACTTCCCCTTTGATTGACTATGTGTACAATGTTTAGGGATCTCTCCAACATTGAAGAAATGACTTAAAAAGTTCTGTGTTCTGTAAATATTTTCTAACTGATAGTTTATTCACATGAGAAGTAAGTAGACTTATAAAAACAAATTGTATATCACTAAAAAATTTATAACAAATTGTAATATTACTAAAAAGTTTGTAGACGATGTGTAAACTTCTTACCTCATCCTGTACAAGGATATAATTTTTGTAATTCCTCTTTTTCATTAACTTAAACTGTACACATAATTAATTGATGGCCATGTAGAAATTATATATATATATATATATATATATAAA